GTGAGAGTAGAAAGAATGTCTGAGGCTGTCAGGAAGCAGAAGGGCGGGTGGCCTCTTCCCAGTCGCGCTATTACCGTCTCCTCCAGTATTTGGTTGATCTGTAATTTTAGGCAGGTACTGCTGTAGATGTGCCCTGCTTCTCTCGACATGGAGACAGGAGATGCTTTAAGCACCAAGTGGTACATTCTGTGTGCTAGAGCAGTACAGTTTGTACTCCTCTGGCTTCAGTGAAGACGGATACTGTAACTACCTCATAGTAGCAGAATTATCAAACCCCTAGCACGCTTACTGGAAACAAGTTGTCTACAACTGACTGTATGATTTGCATGTTAAAATCAGCATCTTGCTTTTGTGGGTTTGTTTTTTCTGTGGTTTGGATTGGTTTTGTGTTTTGGTTTGTTGTTTTTTTTTGTTTGTTTGTTTGTTTTTTTGTTTTTTTGTTTTTTTTCCTCCTTAATTTAGGTTATGTACATTAGCCAGAGCGACTAGAATGTCCAAGTCACATTCTTTTGCCACCTTATTAAATGTGATCATTAGATGCAACAAATAAAAGAGAAATTAAATAGTGCTTGCATCAGACATGGTCATAGCATGGATAAGGATCAGTATCCTACTCAGTTATTTGTATTCTATTTTCAGTTAATTCTAAATCCTGACAGGAAGGGAGACCCTGTGTTTTCAGGGTGTCAGTTTTCTACAATCTACAGTGTGATACGTGGGTTTGTTTTGGAGGGGTGTGTTTTTGTTTTTCATAAGAAGCCAAACTGCTTATCCAGTTTTGGAGTCAAGCCTACAGAGTTGACATCCTCAGCTGTGACTGTGAGAGACCACAGGGGATTGGGGAGTATTTTAAAATAGCCAGAGGTAGCTTTTTTTCTGTTGTGTAGGAGGACTGAGGAGCTGGACTAGGAGACTATAAAGAGATAACAAGGAAAAGCTGTTTGGAAAACATTGTCACATGATCAGGAGTTAAACCAGGGTGCTTTGCACAGATTTCTTCTTAGAGAAATCCCCAAGAAAGAATCCAGTTGAAAGAGTTTTTTGTTGCTGGACAGGGACTTGTTACATGGAACCTTTCCAATACTTAAAGATGAAAATTTCAAAAATTGACCCCCAGCTATGGTATCCTATCCTAGAATAAGGAAAAAAAGGTTGAAGCTGTAGAAGAGCTGCATTGATAACCCACTAATGCTTCTTCATTGTAGAGAAAGCAGGAAGGTGAATCTGTCTGAGAATTTCTCCCCTATTTCCTCACGCAATGGCAGAGCTAGAATTGTCAGGTTACAGTTTGCTGTGAGTAGGATTTACAACTAAGATTTCCTTGTTGGCTCACCCATCTACTGACCAGGGCAAGTTTGTTCTCTGATTTCTTGAGGCAGGGAAAGGGACTGGCAGGCTGCAAAGTTCAAATGGCAGACGTGCTAGAAAAAGCAGAGACGGCCTCTTCTCAGCAAGGACAAGGGCGATGGACACAAGTTGCAACAGAGGAAACTCTGGATTTAAAAGAAAACCCGAAACAGTAAGAGTGATTAAGCTCAGGAACCAGGTGCTTAGTATGTTCATGTGCATTAGACCTTGAGAAAAATCAGTACAAAGCTGTTCAGTGCCCTGTGTCCGTGGACACCTTCCTTGTCTGTGGGACATATGGCAACATCCAGTGTGATAACCTCTTAAACCAAACTGCAGATGAAATGTCTACCGGCTTGACCTGTGTCCATCTGTCATCCAAATGTTCACCTGATGCTCATTTGGATGTCACTCCCATGATGTCCTCAGGTTGCATTGTTGGCAGAGGAGTCCAGGCAGTGGTGCATACTTCGCTTTTGATTTGTCTTTGGTCTGCACTTGGGATCTTCTGTGTTTGGCCAGCTTTGAAGTCCACATGATGCAGAGTCTGTGGACTAAGGACAAGTTACTTGTCTGAATGATTGAACTCAGGTATTAAGTATTGTTGTGCTATCTTCCCACTCATTTCACGACATTTTGTTAAGATGTTTCCAAGCGGTATTGTGTATTTAGATGTAGAATAGGATGGAGCAAAACCTTCCAACGTTGCAATAAAGCAGCTACTCTTAGTAACTGAAGGGACTGCTGGTGCATCCACCTGTTGGTGATGCATGCTGCAGAGACTGTGGCCTTAGAACAACCCATTTGAACTGCTGGCTTGTGAAAGGGATGTTCAAGAAAATATTACAGGAGTATATCAGAACTGGAGTGTTGTCTGCCATCTTTTCAACTTGGACATCAGTAAGAATCATTTATTTACAATTATTTACAACAGTAATTGCTCCAGAGCAAAACAGAATGGTTGCAAATGCTAATGCATGTTTCCATTTTTCCTCATTTCAAAGACAACTGTCAAAGGTCCAGTGAGGACTAAATATGACTTTGGCCTCCAACAGAATTGTTTCCAGAAACATTATAGTCTTTCTGCTTTTACTGCAAGTAATGTACATTTCAGTCAGATTTCTTGTCTGAATTTGTGCTCTTTAGCTCGTTGCTTGGGTGCTATAGGACTGTATTTAGGTAAGAACTTCTCTTCCATCAGTTCGCCTACAGCCCCAAGTGTGTGGTTGATGTCTTCAAGCTTGGTTATCTTTTCTAGCTATTTTTTGCTACTGCCTATTCAGATTTTACAAAAACCTTTTCAAGTATTTTCAGCTAGTTCCTTTAGAGTTAGTCTTTATGACTAGATATTACTCATAGATTTAAGAAAACGTATGTTCTGTAGCAAGCAAGAAAACCAAACCACCCACCAAAAACTACACGGAAACAATGGTAAGAGTAGGGATGGGGTAAAGAACTTGTATAAATCTCAGTTGATTTTCAATCCCAGTTACTGTGTGCTGTTCTTTGGTTTGAAATAATACACAAAAGCCAGAAGAACAGGAAGGATGACTAGAACTGTGCAAGTCCTTCTCTGTGAGGAGCGACAAGGGAGTCTCAAAAATAGAAGACTGACATGGAGGGAGGATACAATTAAAGCCCACAAATACATTAGTGTAAATAGATTAGTGTTGTGATGAAGATGAATAGGGAAAAACCAGCCATTAGATATTTCAAGACAAGCATTACAGGGTATTGGGTTAAGTAATCATCTGACTCTTCAAAAATAAGAAGAGCTGTTGCTTTGCGTGGTGCGTGATTTAACTGCAGAACTCGTGCCTTCGAATGTAGTAGAGTCAAACAATTCAGTGTTCAAAATGCACTGAACCTATGAATTAAAACTGTAATGCAAAGATACTGCCCGGGGCTGAAAAAATCTTAGATTTGTGAATTGCTGCCTTGGTGTGTAGACTTACACCTAGGTAGCATTCCTTTGTTACTGCCCTGTATTTCTGCTCCCCTGTTGTTTAGCATCAGAAATGGGGTGCTGACTAAGTAGGGCAATTCCTATATACATATGTGATAAAAACCCAAACCACCAAACAGCATTGTATTTTCTGGGTGTTTTCAGTACTAGAGCATTTCATGTTATGTTTTAAGAGATTTCTGATAAAGTCAGCTAAACTAAAATAACTCTCTACTCAGCTTTAGCTAGAGTCCTAAATGGATTTATTTAAAATCTCAATCTTTTTGAAGTAGGGAAGGCATCAGTTGTTTTTTACTTTGCTCTTTAGCCTTTGCTTTGTTCTTTTTTCTCCAAATCATTCCTATTTTATTGTGGTAGTGTTTGGGTTTTTTTCAGTCGTGTCCTCATCTGTCAAACGCTGTGGCCTTTTTTGTGAAGCAGAGTAGCAGTCCAGAGTTGTGGAGACAAGTGATATTCCAAAACTGTGGCAGCTGGATCATTTGTGACTGTAAATAATGATCATGTTCTGCCACCTGTAGGGAGTGGTGAATAAGGAGCACTTGTGAATCTGCTCAAAAGATGGTGGTAACTCTTTTCAGAGTTCTCATGGAGGTACACAGTGTAACTGATGGGAATAGAAAGACAACGGAGAATGTAAATGGCCCAATTTCAGTTCTTCTGTTATCCTCATGGTCACACAGATAAATTTCTCTTGAAAGCAGACTACAGGATGCCTGTACAGCACCAGTGGTCAGTGTCTTTTCATGTGTAGAAGCCATAAATATTTTTCATTGTCTTGTGCAGCAAATATGCATAGCTGGTCTTAACTGCCACCCTCAGACTTCTGAGTAGTCCATAAACCCAACAGGAAACCCACTGCTGTACAGTCTTAAAAATATGATTATTTTCTTTCTTTATGATGTCCATAATCTTTGTGGATAATCTTTTTTTCTTGTGGCTTTTTTGGCTGTTTCTGTAGGGCTAACTCTGCCCACAATAGAGCTTAGCAGGCCATGTCAACTGCTGGTCTGCCTGCTAGGCCCTGAGTACACCAGGTTGAAGATGTTAGTGGCACAGTCGACAGAGGGCAGCCTGTGTATTTTGGATGTATGTTCCCAGGTTTTTCTTGGCCCTAGCTCAGCTGCTGCAGCACAGTTTTCCATGGTGAATTATTTTGTGGGTCAGAACAATCTGGGCATCTGCAGCTCCTGTTGTGGGGGCGGGGGGGAGAAGTGCATGCTCTGTTTGAGGGGAGCTTGCTTAGATGTCCCTAGTGTTTGTGTTTCGGGTCTTTTTCACCTTCTGTGATGTTTCAAGCAAAGATGTTAATATGTAGCAAGTGATTCTTACCCACTTCAGTCAGCAGGGAACTGGCATTGCAGCTGCTCACCTTGTGGCCAGCTACAAAGTTTAGGCAACACTTGTACATTGTTGAAATTGTAGGTGTCTTACACTTAAATTATTGCTACAAAGGGTAGGTGATAAGATGAAGTAGAGCTTTTTCAAAAATGCAGGAAAGGATCTGAAGATATAAGCAGTGTGGTCACTCAAGTTTGGGATTTTTGGGTTTTTTTTATGTCAAGTGTACTGCATTGCCTTGACCTGTTCCTGACTAACATCTTCTACAGAAATAACTTAATAAGTTGAATTATCGGGATCAAAAACCATCTCTTGAAGTTTAATGATCTTATTTTAACAGCAGGTTCATCACCTAGCTCCAGTAGCAGCTCTTCTGTTAATCCCATGGCGTCTCTTGGAGCACTGCAGACGCTGGCAGGGGCTACGGCAGGACTCAACGTGAGCTCCTTAGCAGGTAAGCTGTGAGTTGTGATGGGCTGGAGGAGCAGCTGAGCAGCTTTCCTCCACCTGGGCTGGTTCTCTGGTGGGGGTGTTTTTCTGCTCCCTGCTTTTTCTGATGGAGCAGAGTGTTTGAAGGGTAACTGATCTGGCTCAGTGACAGTACTCAGTCATCTTTATTTCTTCTTCTTTGCACAGGAATGGCAGCCTTAAATGGAGGACTTGGCAGTGGTGGTCTCTCAAATGGAACAGGCAGCACAATGGAAGCTCTCACGCAGGCTTATTCTGGAATCCAGCAGTATGCTGCTGCTGCATTGCCCACCCTCTACAACCAGAGTCTCTTAACACAGCAGAGTATTGGGGCAGCAGGAAGTCAAAAAGAAGGTAGGCAGGAACTTGCTGCAAGTACTTGAGAGGGGTTTTCTAAAGGGCAGGCTCAGCCCTTGCAGCCAGCCTATCTGCAGCTTTTATTTGGCAGCATTTTTTAGAATCCTAGAGTTACTGAGGATTAAAAAGGAAAAGCTGTGATGCTTCACTGCTAAGGGCTCTTCAAAGTAGTTTTGATAGAGGATTTCCTGGGTTTCTCCCAGGATTTGTCTTGTCTTAAATGATCAGTTTTTGTACCCTTCCATTTTCTTGGAGGGCAGGAGAGTATTAGTCTGCAGCCTGTGACACATCCTGCTGTTGGAGAGTCAGTTGTGGTTCGATTAACTTGGTTTTCATGGCCCTTCGCCTCTTCCCATGGATACTTCATTCCAGTCTCTTCATTATTCAGATTGAGTCTATCAAACATGTTGCATAAGGTAATAAAGCATGAGGGAGTCAGTTTCCAGGAGAATATAGGAAGGTATTTAAAAGAGCATCTGTCAGATGACAAGTCATGCCATTACTTGGGTTTTGTGTTGAGATTTACTTAGGTTTTTTTGGGCCAAGAGCTTTGTGTAGCCATTCTTGGTTCAGCATCTGGGGCTCAAACATAGTGATCAACTTTGATTTCAGCTAAGATCTGTGAATCATTTTTTTGCACAATCTGGAAATGGCAAAAATGGTGAGAAAGAGCTACAAGTATTTGAATGATTAATCCTAGCGAAGGGTCATGCTGCTTTATTCTGCAATCGAGGATGAGGACTCCACAGAAGTGTGAACAGTAGTTTCATTGGTTTATCTAGAAAATAAGGGTTCAACAGATCTTTCACCTTTTTTTGTGAGCTGGACCTTTGTTATCCATGCTTGTTCTGAATGTGTGTTCCTGCTTGTCATTTGAAGGCCCGGAGGGAGCCAATCTGTTCATCTACCATCTCCCTCAGGAGTTTGGGGATCAGGATCTGCTGCAGATGTTCATGCCGTTTGGAAACGTCGTCTCTGCTAAGGTTTTCATTGACAAGCAGACCAACCTAAGCAAGTGTTTTGGTACGTTTGGTCTCATCATTACCTGCACAAGGGTGACCTCTTTCTAGTCATGGCTTTTTACAGTATATTATCTAGTTTTTCAGTCAAGTAGTGACTCTTTCTCTATATTCCTAAGAAGTAAGTAAATTGGTCTGAACTCTTCCAGCAGTTAACTGTATTTTGCTGATGTTTGTAGCTACTTTTTTTTGCCCACTTTGTACTATTATCATAGAATTAGGATAATTATGCCTCACTCCACTGTTCTGGCCCTAGATAGCCCACTGTGACTCATGCTTACAGACTGTAGTCGAGGTGTAGTTCCTTCTCTTGCCCCTTCGATTTGCTGACTGTTTGCATTGCTGCATATACCACTTACTGCCTTACCATTATAAATAATTTATGTTAATGTTTTCGTAAGCATTATGGCTAACATTACAGTACAGGAGCATTTGACAGATATTCTGTAAACGCTCTGAAGGCAATTTTTAAAGCTGCTTCCTGATTTGTGAACACTTAGTAATGGCAAAACCATTTCAGCTGTTAGTTGCTACCTAACTTTGGTTGCATCTCTTACCCTGATCTTTCCCTGTTTATTGTGTATTTGATGGGAGGCACATCAGGGTTGGAAATTTGTCTTGAAACTGTAAAAGAATCTGTTGTGCTCACTCTTGGTATCAGCACAGGTGATTTTCAGCTCACTGCCGAAGTCTGTGATGCCAAGAGGGCAAAGAAGTGGGTTTATTTTTCTCTTTGAAAGCCCAGCGCAAGCAGGTGTAGTGTTTCTGTAGAGCTGGAAACTTATGGCTTTTTTGATAAATGAAGATTGCTTGAGATGGAATAGAGGTGGTGAGCTTTTCTTTATAGTTGTGAGAGCTTTGTGCCTACACAATATCGTGCATTTTTTAGTATTTGAGCCAAAAGATGCGGACGATCTGAGGCTTTGTGAGAACACCCAAGTGTGCTGAGCGTCAGGTTGTAACACCTGCGTGTGGAACGATCTCCCTGGGTGGTGATGCCAGCCACTGACTAGAACCCTTGTAATGGGTTCTTTCAAAACCCTGCAGAAGCTAATTGTGGGGATGCTCTGTCCCTGGAACGACATACAACTTCTCATCCTAGCTAAACCTAATCAGAGCAGTGCTGCAAGAGCCAGGCCGCCTTGGCAGCCACTTCACTCCGAAGGGATCGACTCCCATAATGCCAAGAGGATTATTTCAGCTTGGTATCTTTAGTGAGCTTTCATGTACAGATTTAACAGTTTTCAGGCTGTGTTTTCTCCCAGCTATGAGTTCTTGCAAACAGCAGCAGTACTTATTTTCGCTGAAGACGAGGAAACATTCTTTTGAGTTCCTGAGCTTTGTGTATATTTGGGCCGAAGTCGCGTACGTCAGGAAGCAGTGCTTTGCCTAAGAGCTTTTAGTAAGACGTTTTTGTGAAGAGCCTAAAACAGTTGTGAGCTTCTGAAAGTGGCATTTCATGCGAGCCCTCCTTATTTTGTGAGTACCTGCCTTCCCAGTTGTGAGTAGCCATTCCGGACAGCTTTGGCGTGGCGTGATGATGTGTTTTCCTTTCTCCAGGTTTTGTAAGTTACGACAATCCTGTCTCTGCACAGGCTGCCATTCAGTCCATGAACGGCTTTCAGATCGGCATGAAGCGTCTGAAAGTGCAGCTCAAGCGCTCCAAGAATGACAGCAAGCCATACTGAGCGCCCTCCCCGGGACTGGAGTGAGAAGGATCTTCTGGTAAGTTGGAGAGGAGCGCACTTAGCGATTCGAAGCCCTAAGGCTGTGTTTTTACAGTCCTGGAAGCTGATCCATGCCTTCTGTCTGGCACATCTGCCCCTGAAGACTCGGCCGCAGCCTCTGCTGAGAATCCTGCTTCGGATAGAGGACAAGTTTGTGCTTTTGTTTCCAGTGTTTTACTTTGGAGTTTAGGTGCCATATCGCTGAGGTTTTGTTGTTCTTTTTGTTTTGTTGTTAGTTTTTTTTTTTTAATTGTTTGTGGGGTTTTTTTCCCCCTTACTCCCCCCACCCCCCCTTATTTGAAGTTTGCTGTGTTTGTAACCGGTGTGTGTTGCGAAGGACCAATGCCAGCTCCTCGGGGTGGGGAGGGAAGGTTAAAGGGAGCAGCATAAAGTGACACCACGCTGCCTTAGGGTAGAGAGGAGACGGGGAAGCAGAACTGACACCACACCGCCGTGGGGGAGAGGAGAAGGGAAAGCTGAAATGCCACAGAGCAGCTGATGAAAACAAAGGTGGGGAAAGAGAACCAAGTCCATCCGGGTCTGGGTGAGAAAGAACCGGCTCCATGTAGCCTTTGTCGTGCCCCATCTGCTCTCTGAAATCTCCTTAACCGTATGCCATGGTGGGGTTTTAGTAAATCATCTCTAAAGCAGGAGACAGGCTAGAAGGGTGAACACGTTAACAGCCAAAGGAAAACTGCAGTGATTTTTTTTTTTGCTGTATATAAGGCAGTGTTTGTATAGCACTGTAAATGTGCACAGCACTTTATGAAATTATTAGATTGTCTCTGCCCAGAAAACTTCACTGTCCGTTTACAGCTGACCCCTAATGAGATGCAGTGAATTGCTCCGTGCTTAGGAAATCTTACCCCTTGTACCCTAGGTTTTGTAGAAGGGTATAGAGGTGGCTTAGTCTGGATGAATACATCTGGGGCTGGAAACAAGAACCTAGTAACCTGCAGAATGTTTTTGACAATTTTTCTTGACAGTTCATCACACTCCCTATTTTTGTAGAATAATGTCCTTTTTGCAGAGTATTACTTTGAACTCATTCTGATAAGCATAATGTAAGTGCTGTTTGTCTGTTAAAATGACTGCTAAATGGAGGCACAAAGCCCACAGTGCCCCTAACCCCCAGCTCTCAAGGCTCCTGTTTCATACACATTCTCATAAGATTTTATTTCTCAGTCCTAATTCTGTTGCAAAGATAACCTGTTGTTTTGTGGGGTTTAAAAAAACAAACCAACCAAAACAACCAACTGACCAAAACCCCAAAACCAATTTGTGGCTTGGTGTATTAATTATTTCTTTATACTGCAGTTTTCCTTAAAGGTGGTGCATAGCAGAGCAAAGCAGGCAAACGTGGGAGCTGTGGAGCCAGAGCAGAGTGCTGAGCCCTTCAGTCCTACTCTGCCTTTTGGTACAAGCTGTTACCTTCTGTACTGAAGGGAAGGTGCACAGGCCCCTTCAGCAAACACTTCTGCACACTTGTGAAACTGCTGATGCGTTGCAAAGGGCCTTTGTTATACACTGGTTTTAGGGGGCTCAGGGGACTTTTGGCACTCTGGCCTGAGTTGTTTCAAGAAGTCAGAGTTGAGTCCCCTTTTATAACCACCAAATTTCACCTCTGTCATGAGAGGAAGTTTACAATTTCTGTGCATCTCTAACAGAAGTTCCATTTACCTCATTTCTCCTTTTCCTTGCTTGCTTTGTATTCCTGGTTGGTGATGCTGTGTCCCAGGGCACGGCTGCCTGGGAGCTGGCCACCAGTGATGGAGGTGTGGGTCAGCCCCAGGGCTGGGACTGGGTGTCTCCTGCGGCCGGAGGAGCGGCC